AAGGATGAGGGAACTGGCGAATCGGATCTTGTACTGTTTCCGTAACCGCAAACGCTCTTCATCCGCCGCCCGTCACTGTATGTCCTCTCCCTCTCTCTCTCTCTCTCTCTCTCTCTCTCTCTCGTTGTTTCCAGGTTCCAGACTCAGAAACAATTACTGGTTCAGTGATTTGCTTTGGGGAAATTTAGTTGGGTCTTCGAGTGATTAACCATTGCTTATCTGGTAATCTTTAATTTTCGTCACTTGTGGCCTACTTCATGATCCAAAAAGCTTCATTTTATTTTTCAACTACTTGAATGCTTTAAAGTTTTTTTCTTTCAAATTGCTTTCGATTTCTCGTTAAACAAAGATTATCACAGCCCAGCGAGGGAGAGAATCAAATTGGGTCCAGCTTCTTGTGTTATGATCAAATATTTCCACCTTCATTTGGAGATTTAGTAAGATTTTGTTCAAATGGGTTTCTCTCTTTGTTGAAATATTCTGAAAGAGAAAGGGGAAGAATTTACACAAGTAATCAAGTTCCGATTAAAGTGTTGAATAATACAGACTCGGTACGATATTTGCTGTTTTATTTCCCATGATCATTGCCAATTTGGTACGTTCATCAACTGAAAGGTTCCATCTTTATTTGAAAGGTTCTGTGTTTGGCCATTGACAAGAAAGAAGCTTCATTGACATGTGAAATTGGTCTCTTGGTTATGTGGATTCATGTTTTGAGTGGCCAAAGGTTCATTAAGTGGAGAAGAAGCAAATTGCTCTTTCCCCAAAAGCCAAATTGATTGCTGCAAAGAGAGAGTACTCATTCCCCTTCCTCTGTTTGTGGTAGGTACACATACCCAGGATCAAGGTGGTGATCGTGCTGGATTGCATCCTAAACATAAAAAGGGATTCAATATGCCTCCTCAAGCTGTCCGGTTGCATATCCATGACCGATATGTAATGCTGCTTTCTTGGTATACATATAAAGGTCCTCATCTTTGTGTCCTAGTGTGTTTCGTTGAAGATGGAAGTAATGCGCAGGTTGTGATGGATAATGGAATACTGCAAGTCACGTTATCGAAGCCCGGGGGCATCATAACCGGCATAAAATATGATGGTATGGATAATGTGCTCGAAGTTCGTAACAAGGAAACTAATAGAGGGTATGTCGGACGATATTTCTCCTTCTGGGTTATCATAGATATTCATTACAGCATAATCATATATGGGAAAAAATATTCTTTCTTTTCAATGTTTCATCCGTTTTGAGGATCATCGCTGAATTATGTGGACTGTATGTATAGGTACTGGGACCTACACTGGAATGAACCTGGAGGCAAGGGGATATTTGATGTGTATGCCCTCTCATATATATTTTTTTTTGTTTTGGTTCATCGGTTTGTTTTTATGCCCTGAATTACAAAGCTTCGGTTGTAAAAAGATAAGGTTATTCTTTTTCACCGTGTTATTTTTGTTCCTCTAGGTCATGAAACAATCTTACAAAAAATACAAGAAACAGCGTATGGTTTATGATCTAATCGGTGGCTTGGTCCTTGGTTTTTATGCAGCATCAGTGGGGTGGATTTCAGGGTTATAATCGAAACTCAAGAACAAGTTGAGATTTCGTTTCTAAGGCCATGGGATCCGTCCCTTGAGGGCAAGTACATTCCCCTGAATATTGATAAAAGGTCTATCTCAACTTATATGTAAATGCCTTTCTTTCCTTCACTTCACTGAGAAATGGAAGTAGACTGGATATGGACATAATGCTCTTTCTCTCGCAGGTTTATAATGCTTCGTGGATCTTCGGGATTTTACACTTATGCAATCTATGAACACCTCAAGGAGTGGCCTGGGTTTGAACTCGGGGAAACAAGAATCGCGTTTAAGCTCAGAAAAGACAAGTAGTAGTGTCAACCTTTCCCACTAATTTCTCTTTGTTTTTGCCCGAAAGAGATCCGTGAATGGAGAAAACTTCAGCAGATGTGATTGCCCATCAATGCAATCAAGGAAAAAAAAAATCTGCCTTTTTGTTTTATTTTTGCAGGTTTCGTTATATGGCTGTTGCAGACAATAGACAAAGGATCATGCCTTTACCAGATGATTTATGCAAGGGAAGATGTCAAACTCTAGATTATCAAGAAGCTTCCCTGCTCGTCTCTCCCTGTGATCCTCAGCTACAAGGCGAAGTACGCGTTATCTCGTTCTCTGTGAATTTGATTGCAAATGATTCGCCGTCATTCAAAAGTATATTCTATACTATTCATCGAGTCAGTAGAGTTGTTTTGTGATTTTTAGTTTTCATTTTTTTTTCCGGGTGTCAGGTAGATGACAAGTACCAATACTCATGTGAGAATAAGGATCTGAGAGTTCATGGATGGGTATGCTTTGATCCACATGTAGGATTCTGGCAAATAACGCCTAGTAACGAGTTCCGTTCGGGCGGTCCACTGAAACAAAACCTCACCTCGCACGTCGGCCCAACAACTCTAGCAGTAAGTATTTCAATCCGATGCAGTTAGTAGTTTCCACGAAGAATTTCGATAGTGGTAATCTTGATCTTGGATTTCACGGGTTGTTTCCCCTCTTCGGTTTTTATGGTTTCAGGTATTTCACAGTACACATTATGCTGGAAAATATATGATGCCACGCTTTGAAAGGGGTGAGCCATGGAAGAAGGTCTATGGTCCAGTTTTCATTTACCTCAACTCTTCTGCTAATGGAGATGACCCATCCTGCTTATGGGAAGATGCCAGGATAAAGGTTGGAAGAGAAAGGAACTACCTTTATTATTATTATTCAAGCAATGTGGAATTTAAAGAAGATCCATCCTTGCTGTTGATTTTTATGATTGAACCTGCAGATGATGACCGAAGTTGAAAGTTGGCCTTACAGCTTTGTAGCGTCCGAGGATTATCCCAAGTCTGAAGAACGGGGCGTTGTCTGTGGTAGACTACTTATCCGAGACAGGTACCCGAAATATTTGCTAGCTCCTGGAATTGTTCTCTTTCTTTTTTTGGCATCTTTTTGTCCCAGGATCCATGAACGAGACTGCTTCATTATCCTTATATGAACAAATGCTCTATTCTAGTACAAGACTCTCCTTTTACACAGGAGAGCCGCCTAGGGGATGGTTACGAAAACAACGATGTGGGATCCAAACAATACGAACCCTAGATCCGTTTATTTACTAACTTCCCAGCCCAAACTCAAAGATAAACCGACAAGAAACAAAAGCGCAAAGTTACAAAACCCAATAGTCTAGGAAGTTGCTTGCTGTGCATTAGTTCTGTTCAGTCTTTCTCTTTTTCTTTCTTTCTTTCTTTCTTTCAGACATTCCAGTTAATCACAGTATATTCTCTTTATAATCTTTGTTTAGGTATGCATGCAATGACTGTGTATCAGCAGGAGGTGCTTATGTGGGCTTGGCTTCACCTGGTGATGCTGGTTCTTGGCAAATGGAATGCAAGGTCTGGTTTTTTGTACAAATCATATCTTCTTTTTTTAATTATTCCCTTTCCTGTGTTCTTTAGTTGGATAATTTACAGAACCTTTGAAGCTTAGTGAAGAATGCAATCCATCCTCCACTAACTGTTCTAAATGTCTTTGAAATGTCCTAACAGGGCTACCAGTTCTGGACAGTAGCCGAAGACAGCGGCTTTTTCTCCATTGCAGACGTTCGCCTGGGCGAGTATAACCTATATGCATGGGTCCCCGGATTCATAGGAGACTATCGGAATGACTCTATAGTTTCTGTAACTTCAGGTACCTTTTGGTATCTATTCACTGTGTCAAACTTATAACTTCACTTCCATGTACGTGATGTTCATTTGTACATATCACGCAGGTTGTAAGATTGAAATGGGTGAGATTGTGTATGAACCTCCAAGAGATGGGCCTACCTTGTGGGAAATCGGCATTCTGTTTTGGTTCATCGGTTTGTTTTTATGCCCTGAATTACAAAGCTTCGGTTGTAAAAAGATAAGGTTATTCTTTTTCACCGTGTTATTTTTGTTCCTCTAGGTCATGAAACAATCTTACAAAAAATACAAGAAACAGCGTATGGTTTATGATCTAATCGGTGGCTTGGTCCTTGGTTTTTATGCAGCATCAGTGGGGTGGATTTCAGGGTTATAATCGAAACTCAAGAACAAGTTGAGATTTCGTTTCTAAGGCCATGGGATCCGTCCCTTGAGGGCAAGTACATTCCCCTGAATATTGATAAAAGGTCTATCTCAACTTATATGTAAATGCCTTTCTTTCCTTCACTTCACTGAGAAATGGAAGTAGACTGGATATGGACATAATGCTCTTTCTCTCGCAGGTTTATAATGCTTCGTGGATCTTCGGGATTTTACACTTATGCAATCTATGAACACCTCAAGGAGTGGCCTGGGTTTGAACTCGGGGAAACAAGAATCGCGTTTAAGCTCAGAAAAGACAAGTAGTAGTGTCAACCTTTCCCACTAATTTCTCTTTGTTTTTGCCCGAAAGAGATCCGTGAATGGAGAAAACTTCAGCAGATGTGATTGCCCATCAATGCAATCAAGGAAAAAAAAAATCTGCCTTTTTGTTTTATTTTTGCAGGTTTCGTTATATGGCTGTTGCAGACAATAGACAAAGGATCAACAAGCTTTTTGTCAACCATCCAGACAGGTTTGCTGTATCTTTTTGGTCTGAAAATGAAAAAAAAGGTACTTCAGATATATGATATATTTGTCCTGGATAAGAAGCATTCCCATTAAGCAATAAGAACATAAATCGGATCACCTTCAGGATCCCTGGGACTCCTTAAACGCGGGAAAATCTTCGATAGGAACCCTCAGTTTCGATGAATTATATTTTATAACTCTAGTTTTTTGCAGGTTCAGGCAATACGGTTTGTGGAGAAGATACACCGAGTTGTATCCGGAGACAGACCTGATTTACACCGTGGGCGTTAGCGATTATCGCAAAGATTGGTTCTTCGCTCAAGTTCCCAGGTAAAAATCCGTTCGAACGAGCTATCAGCCTAAAGAAATTTCCGGTCTTCTCGTAGTTCTCATACTACTGATTGCACTTACTTCAGAAAGAAAGGAGACGCACATGAAGGAACGACGTGGCAGATTCGGTTCAAACTCGAAAACGTCGATGGAAATGCCGTTTACAAACTTCGAGTCGCCATAGCTTCCGCAACACTTGCAGAGCTGCAGGTAAAAAAAAAGGATGCCTTCACCATTCCATGGAGAGATCGAGATCGAGATCGAGCTCGAGCTCGAGGCCATTTTCTCATGCCCGCTTCTTTCTTGCTGGCTTTGGTTGGCCGTCTCAGGTTCGGGTCAACGATGGGGAAGCGGCTCGTCCTCTGTTCACGACGGGTCTCGTGGGGAGAGACAACGCGATCGCGAGGCACGGGATCCATGGAGTTTACATGCTCTACTCAGTGAGCATTCCTGGAAGCATGCTCCTGCAGGGTGACAACACAATATTCCTGAAACAGCCGAGGTGCAATGGTCCCTTCCAGGGAATCATGTATGACTATCTCCGTCTCGAAGGCCCTCCCTTCTTCTAAATCTGGCTTGCAGGATCCGTATAGAGTCATGACTCATGCATATGTATACATTATACATGTGCCATGTATATGTATACATATGCCGTGTATATGGTCAAGAATCACACAATGGACAAACTTACGGATTTTGTCTATACGTACGACTTACGAGAGTAATAGTTAATTTACAGTTTTACCCTAGATTTTGTCCTCTTACTATTAATCTTATCATTTAATGTTCGTTTGAATATCAATAGATTTGAAATGAATTTTAGATGGTTTTTGAATATAAATATGTATTTGATTGATTTTGTATGTATACATGTGTGGAAATTTGGTCAAAATGAATTTGAATGTTCGAATCCGGTTTATGCGTATAACCGAATATTATCTCACGGATAATGAAATTCGGATACCCAATCATACTGTACCATAATGATATGATGAATAACTCAAGTTCGGATATAAGATGCCAATTAAAACTAATTGATCTTTTAAGATTATCATTTATTATTTAATTATTGTGTGAACGTGAGAATTTGGAATATCTATTTTTTTTTATAAAAATTGAATACAACGAATAATATATAAATATATCCGGAATTCATTTCTTTCAAAGTGAAAAAAATCCGAACCTGGTCCGAATTTGTTTCCAAAATATTTTTGCCAAAACAAACTTTTTTTCTTTCAAAAAATTCGATTCCGCATCTGATGTCAGACGCATTGCCGTAAAATTACATGAACTAACTTTTCAAATTCAATTTGGTATTTTATCATATTTGGTTCCACGTTGCTCTATTTAGTTATACAAAAAAATTATATCAAATTATAACCGAGTGTCATTCAATTCTTTTCGGTTTGATTCTATTACAATTTAGATCGGTTCAGAACTAACTTTTCAAACCGAAACACAACCAATGAACAAGTCGTTTTTTAATGTATTTTGATTATATTTTTATTTATTTGGCATTCTAATTTTAAAAAAACAATATATGAAAGTAATAACCCTATTTGGCTATCACATAGGAGCATGGGCCATTAAAGCAACACTATAAAGTGATAACTGTTAGAGTATCCAATGTAATCATTATTAATTGAAAAAAATCTTAAATTAATTTTAAGTAATCTCATTCGTTAATTAAAAATTCGAATAATTTTGACGAATGGAAACATAGTTGACTTTGGCAGCAAAAGTCATGAATTTTTTTTAATGCTCTCTGATACGATTCCCAAGGGACACTGTGGTAATTTACTCCCCTCAACAAGTGCATCTCACGCGCCGAACGCACTCACACCGACCTTATGGTACGCCTCATCTGACCTGATCCCTCCTCGGTCACACATGGTCGTCATCCCATCAGACCGGCCAAAATCAACAGTCTCTCTCTCCCCCCCGCGATCATCACACTTCATAAACCTCGCGGATCGGATCTTGTTCTGGGCACTTCTAAAATCTCACCAGCTCCTCGGAATTTCGCTGGTTTTTGATCGATTAGGGTTTGTTTTTCTCTCAGAAATGGTGTTCTGCTCGGGAATTGTGGCCTGCTTCAGTGTCGCCGGCGGATAATCTTTCTGATTAAGCGAACCAGAAGCGGTTTTCTCGGCGGAGTTGTCGTGGAAATGGCGGCTTCGCCTGCGAAATTCTTCTTCGGGTTCTTGATTGCTTCCATCACTTTGTGGATGGTCTTCATGTGAGTCCTCCTCCATTTTTTCTACCTTTTCTTTTTTTGCATTTTTGCAGTTGATTACCTATGATACTTGTTACGAATTTTGAGTTTAATCCTTGTCCTATCAACGAAGCGAGTTCAATAGGGTTTCCTTTCTCTTGGATCCACTTTTTCTTAACCTTCTGTTTTATCGTTTACATCTGGGAACTATACTGCTATACCATTTGGAATAGCTGATTACTTTGTATTCACGCTCTCTTTCTTGTTCAGCGTTTTGCATCTGGCACTGCTTGTCGTGCGTACCGTTGATTTCCTAAATATTTGCATTGCCATGTGTATCTCTCATCGCGTCTAGTTTTATTGAAGCGATTTTTTTTCCCAAACTGTGGTGGTGCTACTGGGTTGTCTCGTGTTAGGACAGCTCAATACGGCTGGCTTCATCTCAGTTGTAGAATGGAAATTGTAGGATCCATGGCCGTAAGTAGGAAATTTTACCGCTTGTGTAGCATGTGAAATGGGATTTTTTATACTATCTCTGCCCGTGGTCTTACAGGTTTTGTTGAATTCTTCTAAGTTTATTTCGACCAAAGAGTGTGGAATTTGCATCGTGTGTTTTCATTATAGGCCTTTTAAAGGTTTGCTTGATGTTAAAGGATCTGCTAACCATTTTGGTCTCAGAGAATATAGCTAAATTGTAAAGGACTTTGGTTGGTCAACTTCCTCATTTTTGGTGGACATACTTTCCCTGTACTTCTTATGATTGCTTTTGTTCTTTTGTTGAAAGTGTCCTAACAAATGACCCTTTTTGGTTTAAATGATACGACTCTTAAATATTTATTATTCCTTGTTCTTTGTGTTCTTGTGAATCAATTTGATAAGGTAACAAGAACCTAGCTGATGATGTCTTGATGTTTTCTCCAGACTTTGTTCTAGGTTGTTTGCCTGGATTCTTAGCCGAGTTCTTGGAGCATCCGTAGGGTTTCGGGTTGGTGGTTGGAAATGCCTAAGGGATGTAGTGGTGAAGTTTAAAAAGGTTTGTATTATAATGGCCTGCAGAATTTGCTAACGTTTTCTTTTGGCTGTTGGGTAAATTATCAAGCCAAAGTTGTTCCCATGGTGTTCACCTTTTACATTTGTTGTCTCATTTGAGACAAGTTGCATATTTTCGTTTCATACCTTCATCATGATGTGTCTTTTCAATTGAAAGTATATTGTTATGGTACCTTAATCTTGTTGGCTGTCCTATGCAGCATGCCCTATTCTCTCACTTATTGACATTCTCATGGCTCTATAATTATATTCCAAGTTTACTCTGTTTACTTTTGTGGGTATAAAGATGATGGTTTGACTCTGTAGGGTTCCACTGGCAAAGCCTAGTCAAGGAATAAAAACTTTTAAGTAATTTTGTTGTAGCTAGGGAATAATGCTGATGTGAAATCATTAGTGTTCGATGTTACAAATTTCGTTTTTCCGTTTTACCATTATTGATTCTTTGTATTTGGAAGACTATGTAGAAAATCTGCTGGTACTGCGGTAATAGCAAATCTTTTTTGGTGCATGGATATGTTTTTATATGAAATTTATTCTTGGCTAAAGTGTTCAAGATGACCAATTTGCTTTGAAACTGGAAACTATAATCTGTTTTGACTCGAGTGTGTTTCAGGGTGCCATTGAGTCGGTGTCTGCTGGGGAAATTAAATTAAGCTTACGCCAGTCCTTGGTTAAACTAGGCGTCGGTTTTCTTTCTAGAGACCCGAAAGTGCAAGTTTTAATATGTGATCTTGAAATCGTGATGAGGTCCTCAAATTCAAGCGGAAGTTCACATAAAACGAAAAGTCGGAAACCACGTACTTCAGGCAGAGGAAAATGGATGGTTGTCGCTAACATTGCGAGGTTTTTATCAGTATCAGTGACAGAGATGGTTGTGAAGGTACATGATCTTTTTTTACTAGTTTGACCTCAATAGCTGATAACTTGGGCCTTGCTAGTTCGGATTAGGGTAACAGATCAACATTCTAAGGGGAAAGATTGTAAGGATGATTTTAGATATTTGTCTTTTCTGAATCTTGTTGCTGCCTTAAGTTCAAAAATTACTTTACTAGAAATATAGTATGTTTGCTGGTGGTGCTAATTTGTCAATTTCGGTCTCTAAGTTTTTTCCATTCTATTTAAATTGTTAAGCTACCATTGTGCTATCTTATTACTGCTTAAATAATCGAATGGAAACTTGATCATTTCATGCTCATGTTTGCTAGAGAATTTAAGCTGAATGCATGTTTTTGTTGTTGAGAAAACAACCTGTGTTATGTTCAGAGATTAATGGCATTTGAATCCTTTGTACTCTTTATGTTGGAAGAAAACCCTGTTAAGACTGTAAGCTTGAGGACAACCTAATGTCTTAGATAGGATGAATTTTCTAACTTCCTACTCAATGCCATTAATTAATAATAAGAAGGAAAAATTTTCTGTGTAATATATCTACAATTTCTTCCATGGGTCACCTTGTGTTTTTCAAAAGTTTTGAAGCATAGAGTATATATCATTTCCATCAAGGTTGACCTTTGATCAGACTTTATGTGCATTTTTTTGTCAACATGTGCAATATTTATTTATTTGATCAGACTAGGCATCTCATGCATTTGTTTATAGAAAAAATGTTGAAACCGACATCTAACAACCTTCGTGAAGTACCGCAGGGCCCAAAGGCGATGATAGAAGTCAAGGAGCTCAAATTGGATATATCTAAGGATGGTGGGACAAAGCCAAATCTATATGTTAAGCTGCAGTTACTACCTATTCTGGTTCACTTATGTGAATCAAACATTATTTCTGATCATTCCTCAAACTTAAGCAATGGTAGATGTTCTGCTCTGCAAGCATCTTCTAGTGCACTAGAGAGATCCTCTGCCTTTTTCTTCTGCGAAGAATTTTCTCTTTCTTCTGAATTTGGTCATGATAGGTATTTTTCCAATTGTTGCTAGTTTTATATAAAATTTTCAATGGCTAATTTTCTTTTTGCATTTTGTGGAAACTTGGCCTGTGAGTGTGAAGCACAAATCTCAGTTAATCAATTACTTTTATATGTTGTGGCAAAAAGATTTGGATGTTATACTATGTTTTGCTTACTGCTCGTTTTTCTTTTTGTTGCTTTCCCTGAATGCAGACAAGCAGGTATTATTATACGTAATGTAGAAATTATCTCTGGAGATGCAATATTGAATCTTGATGAAGATTCATTTTCTAAAAGCAAGAGGTCATCAACTTCTGTTCATTCAGAAGAAGTCGTCAACAAACCTCGTAAACAACAGCAGCTGCTTGTAACACTTGCAAAGTATTCTGCATCTTTCCCCGAAAAGGTAAGCTGGTAAATATGACTTTGGTGTTCCATGGTACAACTTCACAATGTCCCCATATTTCTTTCTAGCCCAGACACCATAATGCGCTTTCTTTGATGCTACATCTTTTGATATAATTATTATGAATATGTGAGAAAATATAATTATACAGAGTGAAAGATGTAAACTTAATTAACTTTCTCCATGCGCCCTGCGCATTTTACAACCAAGGGAGCAGCTCCAAATTCCTTGGTTAGCTATATGGTGTTTAACTCTTAGACTAGAGACTAATGAGTTATATGCTTAAGAAACTTATTTCAAGTCAGCATTTGGCTTTGAGGCTTTCCGTGGTTTATGTAATGTGTAAGTGTGAAGCATTGATGGGAGACCTACTTAAGTCATCCAAAGCCTACTGACAATCAGTTATACTTAGCAGGTTTCTTTTGGTTTACCAAAACTGGATATCAGATATGTGAACCGAGAACATGATCTTCTTATCGAGAATAACATCACAGGCATTGAATTGAAAAGCGTTAAATCAAGGTCGTTTGAAGACACGGGGGAGAGTACCCGCCTTGATGTTCAGATGGAATTCAGCGAGATTCATGTATGGTTATGTTATTGAAGATCTTTAAGAAATTTGATATTAAGATCTCATCCTTTACTTATTTTCTTTGTGCTGACAATTGCAATCTCTCTCTTCCTCCCTCTTCATTATGCAGCTTTTTAGAGAATCTGGCTCCTCAATTTTAGAGATTATGAAAGTTGATGTTGTATCCTTTATCTACATACCAATTCAGGTAGGACTGCCCTTTTAACTTTCTGTTTGTCAAGGTTCTTTCCTTTGATGCTTTCTCCATATTCTGATGTTGCATCTGTGTGTTGATGACTGAAGTTGGGTTGGATATTGGATTCACATTCTTTCTTTACCTCTGTGCTTTCATCCTTTGTTCATTACTGCGGGTTTAATTCCCTCGAAAGAGATATATCAGCATCCACTGAAAGAGCAAGCTTATCATATGTCTGAGTTAAATTTCTGATACTGATTTCTGTAAAAGAAAAGAAATACTGTTACTGATGCTGGAATTACTGTAGGATGCAGTATGGCGATATACTTGAGTTTGTGTTCATGTCGTTCTCTTTCATTATGTAGATTTGCATTTCTTTCTTGTGTACAGCATTAGAATGGGTCAGTTGTTGTTGAAGTGGATAAGCCTTATTAATTTTGTGGTGGTACTTATCATGTTGTTGATTTCCTTGTTCAGCCAATATCGCCTGTTAGAGCTGAAGTTGATATTAAGCTGGGAGGTACCCAATGCAATCTCTTCATTACTAGATTAGAGCCATGGTTGCGCCTTCATTTCTCGAGAAAGAAAAAACTAGTGCTTCAGGATGGATCTTCCACTCTTGAGAAATCGAAATCTACCGATTTGAAAGCTATTATGTGGACTAGCACTGTTTCAGCCCCTGAGATGACTGTTGTGCTATATGGTATTGACAATCTACCTGTGTATCATGTAAGTAGCCCGCTCACTTTATGTTTGACTCTCATGACTGTGGTTGAATGGGATTTTTGTCTGTTGAAGTGCTAAGACAGGGGGGTTTGGAATTGAGTTTCCTTTCCACTTGCCAGTTATTATTTATTAATAACTCTTGCCATTGGATGTCTGGTTATGCTGCTGAATGTGAGGAAAATTAGTGGCTTCCTCTGTGCATGCTTTCCTTTATATCGAGCACTTGATTTTGAAGGACGCCTTTGTTAATATCTAGTGAGGAGTGCATGCTTTCCTTTATATATTTGCAGTAGCTCTGAAAGTTCAAAGCTAAAACTTTGTTGGGATAATGCACATATGCACATTCGCATATGTGCATGAACTGTAAAAAAGTTTTAAGTGGAATCAGTGTATATTTTTGTTGCTTACATTATTCCAAGTTATCTGACCTGCATCCCATTTATTATTCTCTGCACTAGATTTTGCGACAACATAAATTGAGGAGCTTTAAACTTCATATGGGTAACTGAATTATTGCTTAGCCACAAGATATATTGTATTTTCTGTGATAAAAATTCTGGTTCATATCATGCGTCCAGGCACGCTTGATTCTCCTTACATTGTGTTGTTTGATTGATATACATTTAATTCTTCCTTCCTTTCCATCTGCAGTTTTGCTCTCAGTCATCACATGTGTTTGCAAACAATATTTCTAATATGGGCACAGCCATACACATAGAACTTGGTGAACTAAATTTGCACTTGGCGGATGAGTACCAAGAATGCTTCAAGGAGACCCTTTTCAGGATAGAACCAAATTCTGGTTCTTTGATGCATGTGGCAAAGGTTAGCTTGGATTGGGGCAGGAGAGAGAGAACATCATCTGATGAAGTTGGTTGCAAGAGTAAATTAGTTCTCTCAGTTGACGTGACTGGAATGGGAATTCATTTTTCCTTCAAACGTGTTGAATCACTCATAATAAATGCCATGTCTTTTAAAGGGCTCTTGAAAAGTTTATCTGTTGCTACTAGACAGACAGTTACGACTGGGGGAGTGCATATATCCAAAGCTTCTGGTAAAGGAACTCGACTTATGAAACTTAACCTGGAACGCTGCTCCATAAATTTCTCTGATGATACAGGTTTAGACAATACGATAATCGAAGATCCTAAGTCTGTCAATTATGGATCACAAGGTGGCCGAGTGGTATTTAGTTCTTTGGCTGATGGTACACCACGTACTGCAAGCATTTTTTCTATTGCTTCTGGAGAATGTAAAAGGTTGAAGTACTCAGTCTCTCTTGAAATATTACATTTTAGCTTTTGCATGAACAAGGAAAAACAGTCGACCCAAATGGAACTTGAAAGAGCAAGATCCATCTACCAGGAATATCTGGAGGAACATAAGCCTTGTTCAAAGATCACATTGTTTGATATTCAGAATGCAAAGCTTGTACGTCGAACTGGTGGTCTTAAGGAAATTGCTGTTTGCTCTCTCTTTAGTGCCACTGAGATTACATTGAGGTGGGAACCTGATGCACATCTCTCTTTGTATGAACTCATTTTGCGGTTGCGATCTCTAGTATATGCGCAGAAGCTTAAAGAATGTGGAAATGAGCATATAAAAGATATCTCTACTGTGCGAGATAGTGAACAGAGAGAAGGGTTATCTCAGTCCAGTTCTGCTGATAAGCACAAGAAAAAGGAATCTATGTTTGCTATTGATGTGGAAACACTGATTATATCTGCCGAAGTAGGAGATGGGGTTGAAGCTGAACTTCAGGTCCAATCAATTTTCTCAGAGAACGCATATATAGGGGTGCTTCTTGAAGGGCTTATGCTTGGCTTCAATGGATCTAGAGTATTTAAGAGTACCAGGATGCAAATATCAAGGATTCCTACTGCGTCTTCGAATTTGTCTAATGCAGTACCGGTTTTGGCAAGTGGCCCTTGGGATTGGGTAGTACAAGGACTTGATGTGCATGTTTGCATGCCATACAGATTACAGTTGCGTGCAATAGATGATTCAATTGAAGAGTTGTTGCGAGGCTTGAAACTCATAACTGCAGCCAAAAATAAGATTTTTTCTCCTTTGAAGAAAGAAAGCTCAAAGTCAAAAAAATCTAATACGAAATTTGGCCGTATAAGATTTTGCATACGCAAGTTGACTGCAGATATTGAGGAAGAACCAATTCAGGGTTGGCTGGATGAGCATTATCAGCTAATGAAGAGAGAAGCCTGCGAGTTAGCTGTCAGGTTGAAATTTCTTGAAGAATCAATTGTCAAAGCAGAACAGTCCCTTAAAGGTGCTGGGACAAATGATTCTGCCGCTGGAAGAAAGATCTTTTTTGATGGTTCTGAAATTGATGTTGAAGATCCTTTTGCTATCGACAAGCTGAAAGAACAGATCTACAAAGGGTCTTTTCAGTCGTATTATCAGGCATGTCAGTGTTTAGTCCCCTCAGAGGGTTCAGGTGCCTGTAGTGAGGGATTTCAGGCGGGTTTTAAGCCTAGTGCTGCTAGAACTTCTGTTTTTTCTGTTTGTGCTACTGATTTTGACTTAAGCTTGACGAGAATTGATGGTGGTGAAGCTGGTATGCTGGAAGTCTTGAAGAAGCTTGATCCCATTTGTCGAGAAAATGAGATACCTTTTTCTCGATTATATGGAAGCAATGTTGACTTGAATACTGGAAGTTTGGTTGTTCAAATAAGAAATTACAATTTCCCTCTTCTCTCTGGTATTTCTGGTAAATGCGAAGGTCGTATAGTGTTGGCTCAGCAGGTAACGTTTCTTCTAGTTAGACTTCCTCATGCTATTTATAAAGTTCTTTTACTTTTTACTTTCCTGACCGATCAGTGTTATCTTGTTCATGCTTGTCACCTTTGTTACAAAGCATGAAATAGAAGCAGCTTATCTTTTGTGGAAAAAATGCTTCTTTTCTCAATTTGTGTCTGCGTATTTGCAGGACAGATTCAGGGAATAATATTTACCGTTCCTTTTGATGGAAGTTCAATTCATTGTTTACATAGAAGTGCTGTTTATTTTCTCAATGAATTTGCTTTCCCAAAGAATCTCATATTCTTAGATGTGGTTAATTCGAAAGTAATTTTATATTCTTAGGGTTTAAATTCGAGAGAGTAAAAATCATCTCCCTGAAGTCCTGAAATTAATGGATATTGTCTCAGCCCACTAGCCTCTGCCAGTGGCTGAACAAAAGATTGATAATCTCTCTCTCTATGTGTGTGTACCTTTTCTGGCCTGATATCACTCAACTGATTTATTGACTACTTTACATCTTTTTTTTTTTAATCTGAAATTAGGCGACATGTTTTCAGCCCCAAATCTCACAAGATGTCTTCATAGGCAGATGGAGAAAAGTGCGAATGTTCCGCTCAGCTAGTGGCACTACTCCACCAATGAAGACATACTCAGATCTGCGCATATTCTTTCAACAAGGAGAAATTTCTTTTGGAGTTGGATATGAACCAGCTTTTGCGGATATTAGTTATGCTTTCACCGTTGCACTCCGTAGAGCTAATCTCAGTCATAGGCATCCAGGTGCCCCCCAAGCTGCCAAAAAGGAAAGAAGCTTACCATGGTGGGATGATATGAGAAACTACATTCATGGAAATATCACTTTATTTTTTTCTGAATCAAAGTGGACAATTCTTGCTACCACTGATCCATATGAGAGTGATGATAAGCTTCAAATTGTCTCTGGTCCTATGGAACTTCAGCAGTCTGATGGCCGTGTCTTTGTCTCTGCTAAGGACTTCAAGATATTATTGAGCAGTCTGGAAAGTTTGATTAGTAGGCACGCTTTAAAGATTCCAGCCGTCACATCTGGAACTGCGTTCATTGAAGCCCCAGTGTTTAATCTTGAAGTTACAATGGACTGGGAATGTGAGTCTGGGAATTCATTGAATCATTATCTCTACGCACTTCCAACTGAAGGGAAGCCTCGTGAGAAGGTCTTTGATCCTTTCAGGTCTACATCACTTTCACTTCGGTGGAATTTCTCACTTAGACCTGAAAAATCTCACCAATCTTCTTCTGGTGCTATCAATCCGTTAGAGGGTATAACTGCCTATGGTCCAGAAGACAAGCCTGAGAATTTATCTTTTTCATCACCAACAATGAATCTTGGAGCTCATGATTTGGCATGGATAATGAAGTTTTGGGGCATGAATTATTATCCTCCTCACAAGTTGCGGTCCTTCTCTCGATGGCCCCGATTTGGCATCCCAAGAGTTGCCAGATCTGGAAACTTATCTCTAGATAAGGTGATGACAGAATTTATGCTCCGCGTTGATGCAACACCTTCCCTGGTAAAGTACATGCCTTTGGATTTTGATGACCCTGCCAAAGGACTGACTTTTAATATGACAAAGCTAAAATATGAATTGTGTTATAGTCGGGGGAAGCAAAAGTATACATTTGAATGCAAGCGTGATGCTCTTGACCTTGTATATCAGGGCCTTGACCTTCACATTCCTAAGGCTTTTATCAATAAAGATGAAAGCCCTCATGTCACCACAACAATTCAATTTTTGAGGAAAAACTCTCATGGTGCTTTAATGGACAGAGTACCCTCTGGAAAGGGCAACCATAAGAGGGATGAGAAGCATCGAGATGAAGGGTTTCTACTCTCATCAGATTATTTTACTATCAGGAGGCAGGCCCCCAAAGCTGATCCTGAAAGATTATTGGCCTGGCAAGAGGCTGGAAGGAGGAATCTTGAAATGACGTATGTGAGGTCTGAGTTTGAGAATGGAAGTGAGAGTGATGAACATACACGATCAGATCCTAGTGATGATGATGGTTACAATGTAGTCATAGCTGACAACTGTCAGAGGGTTTTCGTTTATGGCCTCAAACTCTTGTGGACCTTAGAGAATAGGGATGCTGTTTGGTCCTTTGTTGGTGGAATATCAAAGGCTTTTGAACCTCCTAAGCCTTCTCCCTCTCGTCAGTATACACAGAGGAAGGTACATGAAGAAAACCAAAAAGAATCTGGATCAGAAATGCATAAAGAGGAAACGTCGAGACCTTCTGCAGGTGTTGGAGAGAACTCTACTTCTCAGCATATTGAGACAGCCGGACCACTATCATCACCATCGCATTCAATGAAAATGGAGAACTCATCTGACATAGTTGGTATGTCTTGAATTAACAATGAAAATGGCAGTTTTTCGGATATATCCTATTCTTTCTCAAAGAAATGAAACGTTCTTGATCTGACTGAGTTTTGGAACAATTTAAGCATTAAGGCAAGCGGCAATGAACATCTTCTCTCTTCCTCAAAAGCATCATCTGTTTCTATTAACTTTTGACCTGGCTCTCTGACCAGGTAAAAGTGATTCTGAGGAAGAAGGGACTCGTCATTTCATGGTGAATGTTATTGAGCCGCAGTTTAATCTACACTCAGAAGAAGCTAATGTAAGTGAAAAGGCGTGCACGTAAGGCATGGAAACCACAATCAACATGGTTACCTTCTTTTAGCAACTGTAGTACTTGGGTTTTGACTAGTGAAGTTTGCCTTTCCTTTCTATCAGTCAAACCTCTCGAGGCATGCACATAAGCAATCTGATCAATATTGTTAGAACCATAAAATGCAATTTACTTTCTGTGATGTAAAATTGAGGATATTGACTGAGTGATAATCTTGCATTTTGATGATTATCAGGGCCGTTTTCTGCTTGCTGCTGTTAGTGGCCGTGTTCTGGCACGATCATTCCACTCTGTTCTGCGCGTTGGTGTTGAGGTGATTGAACAGGCACTTGGTACTGGAAGTGTCAAGATTCCAGAAAGTAGTCCTGAAATGACATGGACTCGAATGGAATTTTCAGTAATGTTAGAGCATGTGCAAGCTCATGTTGCTCCAACTGATGTTGATCCAGGTGCTGGGCTACAGTGGCTCCCGAAAATTCGCAGAAACTCTCCAAAAGTGAAACGCACTGGGGCTCTACTTGAGAGGGTCTTCATGCCTTGCGATATGTATTTTCGATATACTAGGCACAAAGGTGGAACCCCAGATTTGAAGGTAATGCTTTTTCCATACTGGCTGTAGCATAATTTGTAGTCTCTCACTTGACTTTTACTGATGGGTAGCTATATCTCAGTTGTCTGTAGTTCTCGAACTGTTCTGAGCTGAGCTTTGAACCGATAATAGAAGCCTATAAAGTTAAAAGAGGGAGCATCGAAAAGATAAAAGATGTCTGTAATATTAGTTGAGTCTGGGACTTATTTTTTCCTGCTGGATAAATTGGTCTTAAAGCTCATTGTGTTTACAATAATGAAATTTCATTTATTTTTCTTTCAGAAAATGAACCTAATTCATTTTTGTGGCCTTGCAGGTGAAACCGTTAAAGGAGCTCACTTTCAATTCGCACAATATAACTGCTACGATGACATCTCGGCAGTTCCAGGTTATGTTGGATGTTTTGACAAATCTTCTCTTTGCAAGGCTTCCAAAGTGAGTATTTAAACATTTATGAAAAAAGGGTCGATGTAGATTTTTCATGAACATGTAGGGCATTTTATCTTTCACCTTCTGTTGACTTGCTTGAAACAATTATTTATGATTCAGGCCTCGAAAAAGTAGTCTCCAGTATCCGACTGAAGACGATGAAGATGTTGGAGAAGAAGCTGATGAGGTAGTTCCAGATGGAGTTGAAGAAGTAGAACTTGCAAAAATCAACCTCGAAGAGAAAGAGCGGGAACGAAAGCTGCTTCTCCATGATATTAGAAAATTATCCCATTCTTTTGATACTTCCGAAGATCCACAAATGGATAGAGAGGGTAACTTGTGGATGATTAGTGGTGGAAGGTCCATGCTGGTAAGACTTACAATTTGCAAAAGGAAGTACTTTGATCCTACCTCATGATTATACTAGAGAGCAGAAGTGTGTATCCTCTGTCCCCCCTTTAACCACTCTTCCAAAGAAAATTAGGGGAGCAGAAATCAGAATTATATGTCTTCGATGATGTGAAATTGTCTCTAGATTCTCTGATTTCTTCTTCCACCTATTGCATATTTGTAATGTGTGCACGCAACTATGCAAGTCCATAGGGATGATGAGGGCTTAGAGTATAGTCACTTTCTGTACTTGTTAATTGGCATTGGTTCTATATTTCTTGTTCCCTCCTAACCATTAGTTCCTATCTGACCTCCGTTTCTACCCTTACGAGTGATTTTGTTAAATAATTTCCTATCTATCGCATAGGTTGATGTTGTACTTCTTGCTATGCCTGTTATAGGTGCAAGGACTACAGAAAGAGCTTTTGAAGGCACAAAAGTCTAGAAAGGCGGCTTCTGCATCTTTAAGAAAAGCTCTGCAGAAGGCTGCACAGCTCCGATTGATGGAGAAAGAGAAGAACAAAAGCCCGTCATATGCGATGTGCATATCTTTACAAATCAATAAGGTCGTTTGGAGCATGCTTGTTGATGGTAAATCGTTTGCTGAAGCTGAAATAAATGACATGGTAAGTTTGTATCTTCTATTCACGACTAGTTCGGCACATGTTAACTGTTGCCATCATGAGCAAACTATTGAATCTTAACACTTTTTTGTTTCACCGGATCCGGATCCTAACATGTAGTTAAAATTCTGATTTTTTTTTAATGCTTTAAAGGAGAAATCATGTACAATTGTTATGTGATTTCAAACGTGCAGATATATGACTTTGATCGGGACTACAAAGACATCGGTGTTGCTCGATTCACCACCAAGTATTTTGTTGTTAGGAACTGTCTGCCTAATGCAAAGTCAGATATGCTTTTATCAGCATGGAATCCTCCACCTGAATGGGGAAAGTATGTCATCCTTCCTGCATATTTACCTTACCTGTATTGTTTTTTATGTCACATGGCTTCCGAGGCATCAAGATCCGTGTTAACTGTTTCTTGGTTGCACCCAAAAAGTTAATGGTGGTGGCTTAAGAGTGAAAGTAAATGTAAAGCTATAGTTATTACTCCACATAATCTTGCTTCTTAAGGACTGGATAAGAACATTTTAGAGGCCATGGTATAAGTATGCTACTAAGCAACCAATACAGATTGCAGAAGGGCTTGATATGGCTTCGTTCTCTCCTAAACCGGTGTCATATACTCCCATGCTGTAGTTTTGTTGATTCAAATCCCCTCGATATTTTTGTCTTATTCTTTTGTCAGAGGCTTATTACTTGCTGAAGTATCATTTTTTTCTGAAAATTCCTCTGAATTGCACGTCACTAAAAAATAATCATCTCATGATTGAAAGAGTATCCATCTGAATCTATTGTGGTGTGTATCTAGTTAATGCTTAATCTTTAGGTAGCAGTTTATCGGTTCCAGGTTTTAGGAGCGCCTGGACACTAATGCCATTGAAACTTTCCATCATTGCTATATTAAGTGATATTTTATAGACCTTGATCCTCGATTTCATTTGCAGGAAGGTAATGCTACGCGTTGATGCCAAGCAAGGAGCACCAAAAGATGGGCACTATCCTCTTGAGCAATTCCACGTAATTAAACTTTTGTTATTTTATCTTTAAAATAGATTTTTCAAATTGTGTCGTTTTCCTTTAATTTCTTTATCAACTTGGTCAGGTCATGCAATGTCTTACCAAGCTAAGACGACATGACTTAGTCGTGCTAGTTAATATTCTTATTAGACATCACTGGATTTCAAACTAGGGTTCTGTGAACACTGGAACTGGACCATGGTTTCCACCGGTTGCTCTCTGCACTCTGTTGTTGAGCTTGAGCTGGCTTTCTCTAACTGCATATGAAAAGAATAGCCTCACTGGCCAAAGAAAATTGCTACTAATTGCAGCTATTCGGGGAACAAATATTTTATCCCTATGACCTTTTGGAGAATAATTTCATTATACTCTTGGATTCTTCATTCAAATAACACATTTCTTGAAGTGATATTTCTGAATGAGTTTTGTATAGAAGGATTTGTTACTAGTTAGTAGTTCTGGGAAACTCAGGATTTACTGAGAAGGTGTGTGCAGTTGCGGTGTAAGCAATTGTGGAAGTTGTATTGGTTCAAAAGTAATAGTCTGTGATACTTAAATGATTCTTTTTATCTCCCCTTTGGAATAAGATCATTTTGTTTGAGGTTGTCTTGCGTTTTATTTATTACTTGCAACCTTTTACCATGCAGGTGGAGATTTATCCTCTTAGGATCCATTTGACAGAGACAATGTACAGAATGATGTGGGAGTATTTCTTCCCGGAGGAAGAGCAGGATTCACAAAGGCGACAGGTCCGGAGTTAGCTTCAAGTATATGATAATGATGATGACGATAAAGGACCTGATTAAGAAGAATTAAAAATTCATACCAATGAGTTTTAAATTTTGTTTTATCTTGCAGGAAGTGTGGAAGATCTCGACTACTGCTGGTTCAAAGCGTGTGAAAAAAGGCTCATCCGTTCATGAATCCTCTGGACCAACAAGCCATTCCACAAAGGAGGTGGAGGTAGCATCGAGAATGAGTTCTGCAGTCGTCTCTTCCTCTGCGACCCTTCTGTCACAAACCAACACAGACAATGCCCAAGTAAGCATTTTTCTCTACTCTTTGCTTCAGACCATTGGCGTGGATTGTTCATCCCTCCTTATCTGGGTTTTATATTTGACATTGTATCTGCAGACATCAAATACGTTAAACGTGAGATCCAGCACTGGTAATTCAGCTCATGAGTTGAGAAGAACATCTTCTGTTGATAGGACTTGGGAAGATACGGTGGCAGTGGCAGAATCCGTAACTAATGAACTCGTTCTGCAAGTTCATTGTTCTACTATAGCATCTTCTGTTGAACAACAGGAAGATCCCTCTAAGCAGAAGCTCAAAGATGCAAAATCTGTCAAATCTGGCCGGTCATCTCATGAAGAAAAGAAGGCTGGAAAATCACAGGAGGAGAAGAAATCTAGGCCTCGAAAGATGATGGAATTTCACGACATCAAAATAAGTCAGGTTGGTTCACTAAAAATCCATAGCTGCTTCACTATTGGGAAATGCAATTCCTGGTTTGCTTTAACCACTTCAAATCGTTTTTTATCCCAAGGTGGAGCTTCTAGTTACGTATGAGGGATCGAGGTTTGTTGTAAATGACCTCAAATTGCTGATGGATACATTCCATCGTGATGAGTTCACTGGGACCTGGAGGAGACTTTTTTCTCGTGTTAAGAAGCACATAATTTGGGGAGTGTTGAAGTCTGTTACCGGGATGCAGGTCAGGAATGATACCATTATGGATCCTTGCTTCTCATTTCTTGGTTGCCATTTAATTCCACTTCTATCTGGAATATTATTTTTACGTTATGGATCAAACATCTAGATAACTTAGTATCTGCTTGATTTCACAAGTTTTGACATAGATTGTAATTCTCTCTGCTTGGTTAAGTTATATTATTGTGTTAGGACTACAAGGGAATGAGAGCCTACAGCTTTAAGCTTTTTCTTCCTTTTTTTTTTGGAATCTGATTTGCAGGGGAAGAAATTCAAAGACAAGTCACAGAACCATCGTGAGTCTACTGATAACGACTTCAATCTAAGCGACAACGAGCAAACGGGGAAACATGATCAACATCCAGTGACATGGTTTAAACGCCAAAGTGATGGAGCAGGTGATGGGTTTGTTACGTCCATTAGAGGACTCTTCAATACTCAAAGGCGCAAGGCCAAAGAATTTGTTTTGAGAACTATGAGAGGTGAAGCAGAGAATGACTACCATGGGGAATGGAGTGACAGCGATGTGGAATCCTCTCCTTTTGCTCGACAATTGACCATAACAAAAGCCAAGAGGCTCATCAGACGACATACTAAGAAATTCCGTCCAAGAACTCAAAGAGGTCAGCGAAGATCATATTCCTTTCGCATATCTTCCTTTTTTTCATGCTCTAAGACATGTTACCGACAATTTTGAATTGCCCGGGGCTGCTTAGCCATTCCTTCTATACAAACACACACACACAAGGATGAACTCACTAATGCATTGAGAGAGCACTTTCAGTAACTAGAAGGAAATTGTATGCATATATAAAATCTTCGTTGCTTAGTTGGATTATTCAAGTCTTTGGGACAAAGGGAACATACTCCTAGATATGTTGGAAACTCTGTTTCATGTAGACGCATACTCTTGGTTTGTATTGTTTTGATTTTGGCTGAACGTTTTGTTTTTGATTTTTTTGTTAATCACAGGTTCATCCTCACAGCAGAGAGAATCACTTCCGTCATCTCCAAGAGAGGCGACTGCATTTGATAGCGGTTCTTCTAGTGGATCATCGCCATACGAGGATTTTCACGAGTAACTGATCCAGCTCGTCGGACTGGAAGATGACAAATGGGTTATACAGGGTAGTGTGAGCTTCGGGTGAAGGCGGGATCTTTCAGGAGAATTGCCAGATGCGTCCATGGAAACAGAGGTTAGGAGATGTATTGGCTACTTCACACCATTGATGAGCAGGGAGAGGAATCATCAGAATTGCTCGGCCTTAAATGAATTGTCCTCTGTATAAAGTTCATTCTTTTCGGCGACTGAAATAGAATTCCGTTAGAGAGAGAGAGAGAGAGAGAGATCAACAGTGTTGTAAGTACGTTTGGTATATGGCACAAGTAAAAAAATAAAAACCACAGGTTTCATAATCTTCATTCTTTTCTCATTCATGTAGATTTTTGAAACGTGACATTTGATTTGGTTATTTTTTGTTTTGTTTTTCGAATTTTAGAAAAGACTATAATCGATTCGATTCGGGTTTTTTTTTAATGTAAAAATATTTACTTATAAATAAATTTTGAGCTAATTTTTTATTTTTATATTCGATTTTGTTTTGATTTTTTTAGATTTTAGAAATATCAAACATATTCGGTTAAAAAATACGGGTAATATATTATTGTGCATAGCTTTCGTACATCCACATTTCATCATTGTGAGCCTCAAATGGAGCATTTAGCAATAATTGGAAACCATCAGACATGCATGCATGCATACATCCACCCTTTCATCATTAATGTGAGCTGCATGGAGGCATTTAAGCCTAGCCAAAGTTGCGAATAAGGCCAAATGCTCTCACTCTCCATATTTGTATCTCTATTGGAATTTAATTGGTTATAGAGACGAAATCGAATTAAATACAATATTTTAGACCGACAAAATGGGAAATGTTTTGACAGATTGGCCCAAGAAGAGAGGAGAGAGGAGCTCTCGTGAACCAAATGAGTGGAAACGAACGAAAAACAGTGGTTTTCTTGTCTGTCACTACAACGTTAGGACAAGAGAGAGAGAGAGAGAAAAAGTTCACGAGCTTTACAAAGAATAACCTCTCTCTCCCTTCTTCGTCAAGATCTTTTATGGGAATCTTCTTCTTAATTTAATTAATAAAATCTCTATTTTTAATCTAATTGTTATATAGTTTGGATTCGTATTTATTATCGATTTATGTAAGATACTATAAAAAGTCCAGTTAACAAAAAAAAAAAAGATCATGTAAAGCCCTTTAGATGCAATTTTCTTTTTTTGTTTTTCTGTTAATACGGATTAACAAAATCTGTCCCGAATTTAGGTCTCAAATTAGAAAAAAAGTATTTACCTGGTTTCTTCCTTTCCCATCCCGAGATTAATTTGGACTTTCATAGATGGGTTATCCAAAAAAACATTTATGCAATGATTTGTCTTTTTTTGCATTATGTTATTTCCTCGATCCATACAAGATATATATATATATACATATATATATATATATGTATATATATCCAAAAGCACACAACAAAATGGGCCGTCGTTTATGGGACGC